AAAATGAAGAAAAGGAACAACAAAATGAAGAAAAGGCACAACAAAGAGGAAGACAAAAAAATTAAAACTGAATAAAAAAAAAAAAAAATTTTTTTTGGATTGACCACAATACCCCCTCTTTCGCCAAAATTAGAATTTTATACCCCTCATGTAACGTTTATTTATATTTCAAATTGGTTGTTGTACAATGTTTTTTTATATTAGTTCTACTTTGTATTGGGTGTAGTTTATATAGTAATTATAGCATGGAATTTTAAGTACACAATAAAAAGTTTTACTAGTAAAAACCTTAAGGTGTCCACAATACCCCCATCTCCCTTATATGCACATTTTTTTAAAACAATTTATTATTAAATATAATAACCTTGATATTTACAATTGTCATATCACACATTTTTTGTATTCCAAGTGTGTGATTATGGAGAGGTTTGACTGTATATATTTTTTTTTTTAGCAAATCGACCCATTAGTCTAATTAAAACTCTTGATGATGAGTAATATAAGTAATATATTCAATTTATTTATGATTAATTAGCAAATTCTTCATTACTTGTTTTTTACTGGTATTGAGATTATTGGATTGATTTATCAGCTTCGCGTTTGACTAGTCGTAGTGATATCACACTTTTCCCACAAGACATCATACTTTTTACATAGATAACAAAATTTCACAAATTAAATTAGGTTTCATTAAAATCATTATAGTATGAAATCAAGAACTTAAGCTTAAACATTTGTAGTATATAATATTTTAACTAATTGCAAAAGCAAAATAAATAAATGCTCATAATTTGTTAGTTTGATGAGAAATATACTTATGTTATTGTAAAAAGAAAAAATTTAAAATTGGTTTAAGCAACATATTCTTAATGAAAACAATTCTTCTTTAATGAAGTGTTTGGATCCGTTGAACCAATCCGTTAGATGATCCGACGGATATCCGACTATTTTAATCCGGTGGATATTTTTTCGGATATCCACTGGATCATCCGCAAATAAGTGCTAGGAGTGGTTGTTTAATCGGAACGGCAATAAAACACTGATAAAAACAGTGACTTAATGTTAATTATTAAGAAATAGCAAAAGGTTTTTTCGGGTTGATATCCTGTAAAATTCCTGTATACGAATAAATTGTGACAACAAAAACAGAAGAAACAAAATAACGAGCTTTTAGTTTAGGAAAATTAGACTTAAAGTAATTTATGTAATTGAAATTATTGAATTAGCAATTTATTAAATAAAGAATTCTTTGTATAAATATTTTAATGTTTCGTCAATATATATATTGATAAGTCACACTCGTTATAATGAAATGATCGATTCTAGTAAAATTTTTTTAAAATCCACTATACAGTATTGAGAATTTTATTAGTAAATGCATTATATCAGAAAATTTAATATAAATTGGTTTTGAGTTTGACTCACAATAACTATACTTCAATATATTGAGAGTTCACCATTACGAGAGTGACTTGCATATTTTTTTGTAGACATTCATTTAAAAATAGATTTACCGGATTCAACAGATCTTATCGGATAGTTTATGATCGGGCGTAAAAATCCAGCGGATTGAGCTAAAAAATAGTCGCATATCCAAACGCTACTCTAATGTAATATGCATATGGAAGAGTCATGGTTTTTATTATTAGTATATTATTTATAGTTTCATTTACAAATAGATTTGTTCATTTTAGCAATGACCGATAGAGGCTATTCTTATTTGATTCGAGACTTTACTACAACTAGGGTTCCGCAAGCCTAGTGTGTGCCCGTACCCAACAAAAGCACAGGCACGGGTGCAGATGCAACCTAAAATTGTTGGACACTTTGTAGATGCGTTTGGAACTTACTTACGTTGATGATGCTGATTTTGGAATAAGTTATACATATTATTGAAGAAATATATTTTTATTCTACGTATATTATAATTAAGTGACAAAGTTTTGAACTATAATTAAAATAATATCACCAATACTGTAAAACACATTATTCCAAAAGGTTTGGATCAAAGTTTCTTAATAACTCTTCACATTTTTCCCAAAATTTTTTTGCAAATTCTTTATCCGCAGCTTGACCGGTAACGTTAATTTCTTCACACTTTCTAAAAGACTTACCACCATCATTAATATTTGCATCTAAAACGGGGTACATGATATTTATTGCACCAATAACTGGTGATGATCCGAATGCCATGGCAAAGCGTTTTAATGGATGTAAGTACTGAGGCAAATCACCCGCATTTGTACTTACGAACCCTGGAAAGCATATTAAAGGTATGACATCTAAATTAGAGTAATGATGAATTAAATTTTGAATATTGTAAAAATGGTTAAGATTAATATAAAAATATATATT